TATATATATAAATATATATATTTTGATTTTTCGAAATATATATTTATATATATTGTAGAAATAGTAAATATAATTTTATTTGGACATAAAACATCATTTTATGATTGATAAAATTATATTGTAATTTTTGAATGCATTATTTCCTATTTTGAATTTATTGTATTTATTTAGGTGAAAACCGAAAATAAATATGGAAAATTCAAAATGAACTTTATTAAACTTGGAAATATTATTTCTAAGTTGAATAAGTTTGTTGATAAATATATTGTTCAAAATAATATTAGTTAGTAATTAAATAAATATATATTTATATATGTACTCGGTTTTATTACCAAAATATTATATATATTTATATATTTGTATTTTAATTACATAAATGACTAATATATATTTTGGAAAGTTATATCTCAGTAAGAAAAAGAAATTTTTTCAAAATATTAAATTTTTGTAATTTAATATTTTCGAAATCAATTTAAATGGCTTTTTATAACTTATTGAGATTTAACTAATCTATTTTGGAAATAATGATTTATAAATTTTGGAAATTTTATTTCCAGGTTTATAAATGTTGAAAATAATTACTGGAAGTTTAAATTTAATTTTCATGATTTTTGCAAAATTGTTTCAAAATTTTAATGGCCTTTTTGAATATAATTTTGCAAAAAGGGCATTTTGGTCATTTGGAATATTCTGGATATTTCTTTTATGCTGGCAGAATATCTAGAGTATATAAAATGATTTTATAAAATTTTATTAGATTTATTTGGACATCTAATTTAATTTTATGAGTTTTAGAAAATATTTACTGCCGTACTATTTTTCTAGAACTGTCTGGGGTGAGCGCGGTTCACCCGGTGTATATATATCTCTATTGCTTGTGTGGATGTATGATATGCATGGTGGATGATTATGGCTATAGTTTATTTGATTATAATACGGCCTGCGTGTCGTGCCTTATCTCTTAAACTCTTGTTGTAAATCTATTTCTCTCTCTTACCTCAACCGAGGACTCTTTTCTCACGTGGTGGTTAGAAGACGAAAAGATTTGATGACCGTTTGGAGAAATCTAAAAGAATGGAGATAGCCTGAAGTCCAAGTGCCCGGAAGCTAGTGGGAGATATCGTTTTATTTTTCTTTTAGGGGCCACAATCATTACACGTTTATTTACCGCGTTTTGTGAATGCATGTTGAATGTATGTTGAACGCTAGTAATGGACATGTGCGCGGCCATGTCGATAGGTGAGATCGAAATTATAAATCCCTCACGAATATTAAGTCTGTTGCCTTCTGACGCCCGGCACCTATCCGGCTAATGTGCACTGTCATGTACTCAGCCTCAGCAGAGCATAGTACGGTGTAT